ATTTGGTGTCTGAAGTTTGTTTCTTTAATTTTGCACTGGAGCTATGGGGTTAATGTATCTAAGAAGTAATGGAAGCTCATATTCCATCAATTACCACTGTGCAAACTGCATGCCTAAATCATTACAGACTTGCCTCAAACCATAGAGAGGTTCAGTAATCTCAAACAGACCTGCTTCTGTGGTTTCTGACACTGTATAATACTTTTATCTATAAACATGGATAAAAGTACAAACAAAAAGTAGTTTTTAAGATGCCTGCAATTACTGTTTTTAGCTATGCAACACATTTTTGACAGAAACCACATAAACATTTAATATAATTTGAGGTAGGACTGCACCAGTATAAGATGTGTGTGCCAGCACTGATATCTGATATTTTTCATGCATATATTTGTCTATGCTAATACCAATACAGATACAAAAACATTTATAAATTATGAGAAAATTGGGACTAAATTACCTGGACTAGCACTGCACAGTAGTCCAGCGCCGTCTAAATATTATCAGTTGGAAATGTTGACATCTGTCTGATGCATCCCTACTTTGAGGCAATCATGTGATGAGTTAGGAATCCAATGTGCATTATGCTGTTTGGAGAGGTTTAAGCTTTGTAGCCCCAGTGCAAAATTAAAAAAGCTAACCAAACATCATGGCTGATGAGACACATCTGTGGTAAAGAAAAACTGTACAAAAGAGATTTTTCAGCAACTATTCCTTTAAAATTGGTTCCCCTTAAATGAGAGCAAATTCTTTTTAGCTTTCAGTGAATGCATAGTAATAGGTGCTGACTGCTTCTTGGAGAAAGCTTGGGATGCAATCATGAGGACCATCAGGAGTCCAGGCTGTATGTCTTTAACAGAAATCCATCCAGACGCTGGAAGCACTCACTGACTTAAACGCTCAAGTCTAATTGCCATGGTAACTGGCTTCTTAAGCTGGCTGGAAGCCCGAGAGACAGACCTCACAGAGTGGTCTCTCACGCTGGGGGGAAATGGGAGATATTAGACATGAGCCCTCTTGAAACTCCAATTAGCGATAAAACAACAAGCTTCGAGCAAAATCTCCCCATGGCTTTGTGTCCTCCAAGACTGATGTGGATCCAGTGCAGGTCACTGAAGGACAGTACGCAGTTGTACATAAGAAGGATAGATAACACACCATAAGAAATCCATGATGACAGATTACAGTGAGTCTCGAAATTTAGAGTGAAAAATGAATTTCATTCACTAGAATGGTTTGGGTGTTGGAGGTTGATTTGTTGGTACAAAGCTATTTGGTTTGCAAGAAGCAATGCAGGCTCAAAAGCAAAGCTGTGCTGACAATTTACAGCAGGATAAATCTTTTCCAGGTAAACCCACAACTCTACGGGGAGTAGTAAGCAGCACAACGATCAGGCAGGTGAACCTACAATCTAATGACGATCTTTCCTCAGGGAACAATATCTGATGCACACAAACAAACATACCTGCATTTCAAATGCTGACTGGACAAATGCATTAGCTAAATGTATTACATTTCTGTTGCTGGGAACTTGACTTACAGTGGTTGTTGAGACTCTCTTAAGACACAATCTTAAGAACTGTCTGACCCTTCAAAGCGTAGAGTTGCTATTGTCGTTTTCCTTTACATTCGATGTAAACTATCTAATTACTTAAATGTAGTTACAGAATTAAATGTTTGCATTTACATGTCCAACTTTTCTCCAATATCGCACAAATGGATGATGTGGTTTTTTTTTCCACAAATGAAGACAAAATGAAGCAAGGATATGTTTTCACACCTCCAAAGTTCAGTCTTAGAGGTTGGTTGCATTTTCTGCTTCTCATAATCCAAGAAAGCCCAAGCACATTTAGTGATGTGGAGGTCTGGATTCTGGGGTGGTGAGTCCAGCTGGTAAAAATACCAGCAGCTTTGTTGTTTGATTTGCAAATTTTGTTCTTTTTGTCTGTTTCCATTTTTCAGTAAGAGCTTCTTGACAGCTGCACATCCTTTTAGACCCATAGTGTTGAGTTGTCTCACAGTGGAAGGATGGACAGAGTGGGGCTTGATTTTCTCCTCTCTCTCAAAGATAAAAGTGTTTAATACATACACACACACACACACGCACACACACACAAAGAAACCGATGAAAGATACGTGCAGACACACGACTCTCCTGTACCTCAAATTTGATTGAGCTTTGCTAGTGCAATTCTAGCACAAATCATGTTAAAGATGTCTCTCCAAAATCTGTTGGTGGCTGGTAGAACTTGTTTTTTCATGTTTATCTTAATCACAGTGCGTGATTACGTGTATGCACACATGCATTAGTCTTGTCTTCATCTCAGTTGCTCTGTGAAATCTTTCCCTGCTGACACAGTGAAATTTCACAGACCAAATGCTCATACTTGAGAGGAAACGCTGTACAAGTTTCCTCAAATATTGTAGCTTTTGCAATTCAGCAGTATTAGAGTATTCAGATGCATGAGTTAGGTATAAAAGGGGTCAAGACTTTGCAGAGTCTGTATCTGAATATTCAGTGAAGACTATGACAAAGGCTGGGAAAAGATCTGGAAAGTAAGACACGAATTTGCACACCATGTGCAGGCCTGCTGAGAAGAAGAACACTACAGTCCTGAAAAGCTGCCATTATCTGATTCACAGCATGCTAATCCATTATCTCTCTCGTAAATGGAATAAACACACCAATTACTACTGTAAAGCCTTCAGCCTACTCAGTGAGCTGCTGAGCGAAATGCATGTTGGTACAGCGGTACTAGCCATAATGTCCTGAGAGGGAGAGGGACATCTTAATAAAAGCTAACACAAGCACAAATTGCATTTACTCACATCATTTTCTAAAAGTATGCAAAGTATAATCTATATCAATATGTATAAGCCATAGATCTACACTCCACTTATGGAAAATGTAGCATACAGTGAGGTCCAAAAGTCTGAGACCACATTGAAAATTTGGGATTTCTCCATTCAAACTTGGAAATAAACAGAATATTTCAGAATTTTGAAAAAATTTAAACATTTTAGAAGAGAAATTATGAAAAATGAAAACAACATTCTGCCCTATTTCTACATCACTAATTAAAATTAAGCAGATGACCTGACCATGTTAAAGCCTTTGTACAAAAAGGTCAGATTTTTTTCCTTTGAAGCTGGTGTTCAGACGACTCTCAGTGAGATTTGATCTACTTATCAGAGGCTTTTGCACAAAGCTGCCCATATCAGCTCGAGAGCACACTGTCATTCATTAGTGCGTTAATGTTAAAATTTCAGACTCCACTTTATACTACAAATGTTAGGCTGTTAATATCTGTTTTGTGGTTAAAATGTTTGATTAAATTAGAAAAGAATGTAAAATCGAAGCATTTTCATTAGTGGTCTCAGATCTTTGGACCCCACTGTATGTTCAACTAACACAACTCCAACCCCTTCCTTTCCTTACGCACTGGAGCAATGTCTAATGGGAAACACTGCCATGAAATGCCAGGTCTAATGCAGTGAAACAAAATAGTCTATAAGCTAAAGTGCAATGCAATGCATGTTTATATATTACACTGCAATGCAACACAACAGTCCAGTCTATTGGCCACACTGCAGTGCAATGTCTACTAACGTATATACACTGTTATGCAGTGCAATGCCATGTCTGTGTACAACAGCCTAAAAACTACAGTGCAATACAAGGCAATGTACTACACTACAATACGACACAATGCCTAGTAGTCCACAGTAGTCTATACACTCCACTGCAATACAATGCAATGTCTAGTAGTCTATGTATAGCAGTCTCTATACTATACTGCAATCCAATGCAATGCACTATACTACAATGCAATATGTAATAGTCTATGTTCAGCAGTCTATATACAACATTGTAACGCAATGTCCAATAGTCTACATACAGCAGTCTATATGCTACTCTGCAATACAACACAATGTCTACTAGTCTATCTACATTGCAATACAACTCATTGTCTAATAGTCTATGTATAGCAGTACCATCGCAATTCAATGTCTACTAAAATATAATAGAGAGTAATATATACAAATATATACTAAGGTACTTTTAGCATTGATGGCTGTAAGGCCAGATATGGCTGCCTGAAAAAAAGTGATGTTTAAGTGAGTTAATGTTTCATTGTGTATTGAATCGGAATTACATTTACACTAGATAATGAGTGTTCCTTCAGTGAATTCAGAGCATTTGTTTTTTCTTTTCTGTTTTTCTATAAGCACATAGTAGTCAATTAGTGAACTGTATAGGTCCCTGTTGTCTATACTCTTGAAAAAGATGATTCCTCAAGGGTTCTTTTGTAAGAACCATGAACACTTAAAGAACCTCTTGCTTGATTAAAAGGCCCTTTGCATTATTAGACATCATACTGTTATGTAGTTAATAGATTATAAGACCTTGCACTTCATTGTGTAGTATATAGGCTGCAAAATTCTATGTAGATCCATGAACACTTAAAGAACCCTTTGCATGATAAAAGGTTCTTTGCATCATGAAATGGTTTGTCAGATTGATGGAAAATGTGCATGAATGTGCTATACCTGGCTATGTATAGAACCTTTATAGCACCCAGAAGGGTTCTTCCATCATTACAAGCTTGATTTCATCACAACAGAAGAACCCTTTTGGGTGCTATATAGAACATTTTTTTAAAAATGTTCTGTATACAACCATCCACAGCACATTCTCCATCAATCTGAAGAACAATTTCATGATGCAAAGAACCCTTAAATCATGTAAAGGGTTCTTTGAGTGTTCATGGTTCTATACAGAACCATTTCTTTACTAAATAAAAGGGGTATATTTGGCAGCCTATATACTATACAATGCAGTGCAAGGTCTTATACTCTATGAAGTACAATGCACTACAATGTCTAATGTGTGTACGACAACCAAATACTACGTAAGAACGCAATGCAAAGTTTATATGTTACACTATAACAGCACAATCCAACTATAATTTCAGTTATTATGACCCACCCCCTTTTACCTTGAGCAATGGCTATGGACTCGAAGCGGTGCAGTTCGCGCAACAGGCATGAGCGCTCAGAGGGGATCAGGCCATAGATGAAGTCGCGAGCCCCCTGTGGCGAGCTCAGGGGCTCCACAGGCTCTTTGCGTGCATGTGTGCCCAAACTGGCGCTGTGGCCTGGGGTTGCGCACAGCGGTGGCCTGAGCGCCCGGAGCAGCGTGGGCCGCAGGGCTCTCCGCAAACACGGCAACATGGAAGAGAGAGGGAGAGGAACGAGCATAGAGGGAATCCTAGAGAGAGCAAAATAAAGAGGAAAGCTGTTAACAGCAACTACTATCAACATTTTTACTGACAGTAAAAACTGCTAACCTGTTTCCTGAAATTGTAATCTTACATTACACTCATTTTGAAGTCCTTACCCAACTTGTTCTCATCTCTAACGTCTTGTATATCAGTAGTCCAGCAGATATTTGACATATTCACTGGATCATCCCACAGATCTTTGATCTGTACAATCTCAGTGCCTTCCTTGTAAACTTGTCCTATATGCATCATAACCCCACTAGGGGTGACATGATTATTCTTACATGATTACTCATGATTAATTGATTTAAATAAATAAATACAACTTTCCTTCTCAACAAACTTGCAATAATTAGGTGGTAATGATCAGCAGGGTCTTCTGGTTACCATATAAATGGCTGAAGATTCTGCACAAGGTCCCCTATTAGCAATCAAATAGCATCTGTGTGCATCATTGAAAGAGAGGAAACTCTCATGAGCCCACACCAACAAAATGTTTTTAGGCAGAAATTGAATGTATCTTAATTTATAGGCCCAAAGCCAAACTAAACATTCTCTACAAAAGTTTTTTAAAGAGTATTTTAACCTCTTTTTACCATTAATATAATAATAATATAATAAAATATATGTCTTTGTAAAAATAAATGACATCAGTCTTGTTAAAAAGTTTGCACTTTTTTTCAAACTGTCAAAATAACATCATCATGGTCAGTTTCACATCTTTGGCACGCGACTGATTCAACTTTGCTATAGGTGTACATGTCACAGCAGATGACTGTGCTATGTCACATTATCAACAATCAATAAACAATACTGTCTACTGCTCATAAGTTACACACAATGATAGTAAAGTTAACAAAGTTGCTGTCACTCTCCTACCTAATGTTAAGGTCAGCTGCGAGGGAACCTGCCACAGCAAATCTCGATCTAAAAAAAGAAATACTAAAGAATGCATTTCTTGCCTTTGTTTATCCAATCACCACCACTACGATAACAATAATTTCCATCTCTATGTGACTTGCTTGGTTATGTTAGCACAAAGTTAAAGATGGTGTATGTATACTTTATACATTGGGTTTAATATTACTTAGGAAGCTCTAGCTGAAACACTATATGAGCTGGAATAGCCGCATACTCAAATAATTACACTCCTGTGTCACAGATTTAAGCTGAGTTAAGGAGACAGAGGCAGAGTGGTGTTTCTCCATTTGCATGTTTTCCACTACAGTCTCCACCCTTTCCCTCAAACATTATTGAGTATTTTTCAAAGTTGAACAAGGGGTCAGACTATCTGAAACAACCAGGTCTAGACTGACCTGACTCAGACTTAGCTAAGAACCCGACATGTTTCTTGCTAATATAAGCTATTATAAGGCTTCTTGGTTTATTTTCCAATAAAGCGTTAACAGGCTCTGGATAGTATGTTACTGTTCAGTAAATCCTAAATATTCAATTATTATCAAATTCATCTGCAGATTACTTGTCACAAATAATAATCTGTGCACCTCACAATTCAATATGATAACCATACAAGGTGCTAAGATGTGATTATACAACCACCCTCAATGTATCTTGATGCTGTATGTTTAACATTAACTGATTTAACAAAAATTGCAATAAAAATCGATAAGAAAATGTATTAAATATCACGTTGTGTCATATAATTCTGATTAGCTCAACATTTCACTTCTTTTTAAAGTTGTTACTGCACGTGTGGTAAACACATGCAATCAGAGCTATTTTTTCTCTTTAAACGAAGCACATAAAAGCGCCCACCTTAGAACAAAGCCTAATAGGTCATTCAGTGCCTTTATTTAATATACACAAAATTACCCCGATCAGGCATAACATTATGACCATCTCCTTGTTTCTATGCTCATTGTCCATTTTATCAGCTCCACTTACTATATAGGTGCACTTCGTAGTTCTACAGTTACAGACTGTAGTCCATCTGTTTCTCTGCAGACTTTGTTAGCCCCCTTTTACCCTGTTCTTCAGTGGTCAAGACCCCCATGGACCCTCACAGAGCAGGTACTATTTGGGTGCTGGATCATTCTCAGAACTGCAGTAACACTGGTGTGGTGGTGGTGTGTAAGTATGTGTTGCACTGGTCTGAGTGGATCAGACACAGCAGAGCTGCTGGAGTTTTTAAACACCTCAATGTCACTGCTGGACTGAGAATAGTCCACCAACCAAAAACATCCTGTCAACAGCGTCCTGTGACCACTGATGAAGGACTAGAGGATGACCAACACAAACTGTGCAGCAGCAGATGAGCTATCGTCTCTGACTTCACATCTACAAGGTGGACTGACAAGGTAGGAGTGTCTAATACAGTGGACAGTGAGTGGACACAGTGTTTAAAAACTCCAGTAGCACTGCTGTGTCTGATCCACTCAGACCAGTGCAACACACATTAACACACCACCACCACGTCAGCGTTACTGCAGTGCTGAGAATGATCCACCACCCAAATAGTACCTGCTCTGTGACGGTCCATAGGTGTCCTGACCACTGAAGAACAGGGTAAAAGGGGCTAACAAAGTATACAGAGAAACAGATGGAGTACATCTACAAAGTGCACCTATATAGTAAGTGGAGCTGATAAAATGAACAATGAGTGTAGAAACAAGGAGATGGTCATAATGGTACGCCTGATCAGTGTACGTACGGTTTTTGAAAAGACGGTTCTTCAAGGGTTTCTCAGTGAAGACAAATGGTTCTATAAAGACCAAGGACACTCAAAGAACCATTTGCATGCGTAAAGGGTTCTTTGGTTCATGAAACAGTTCCTCAGATTGATGAAGAATGTGTTGTGTAAAGTTCTACACAGAACCTTGTTGAGGTTCTATATAGCAACAAAAAGGGTTATTCTATTGTTACAAGCTTGACATTGTAACAATAAAAGAACCCTTTTTGGTGCTATATATAGAACCATTTATTTATTTATTTAATGCCTCTGGGTGGGCGTGAGTTTATTTTATGGGTAAGTGAGAGCCTAAGTAAAAACAGATGACGACTCTTTTTCAATTTTTTAATCAATTCAGAATCTTTAAGAGAGAATTGTGATACAAGAATGAATTATTTGCCCCTTAATACTTAATTATTAATATAATCAATAGTGACTGCCCTAAAGTACTCAGCTAGGGGCTGAACAATAAGAGATTTTGCCACCTTTAAATCTAAATGTAGTTGATACTGCCTCCAGTTCAAAACTAGTTTATAAACACTGGAGGGGACATGACTTGATGCCTTTCTGTCTATGAGTCCTCTCAGCGTTTCAGACTCACCCATCAGAGAGAGAGAGAGAGAGAGAGGCTACCACACCGAGCACAAATGACTGACATGGTCACTGTCTGTAAAGCAGACTAGACTGTCATTATGTTTATGAGCTCTTTATTGACATGCACTGATACAGGTACTACTGAAAAGTCGACTTAATGGTTTAAGTGTAAAAAAAAAACAAAAAAAACTGTATAAATATATATCGACTAATTGCATTGTTAGGCCCCACCTGCAAAGAGAAACCCAGACAAACATCTAACTGAAAAACAAGGACGTCACACCTACTGTCCACTAATGTTTTCACAATATTCAGTCAGACGTGGAGCAGTAACAGATTGACCGTTAGCCACCAGAGAACCTAAATGTGAGCTTTGTGTCGATGCTAACCTTAATACTGAATAACCGCTTTAACGTTCTGTGTTTAAAAAGTGTTCATTATTTCATGTAACGTTAATATGTTTTGTTTTGTTTGTTTTTTTTTCTCTAAAATTGAGTCCCAACTGGAGCTCCTGTCCCGTTGTGGTCCCATCAGAGAGCGGACTTCTTTGACTGGAGGACACAGCTTTGGTTCCTCTGTTCATCCAGCGAGAGAAGCGGGACACACCGCAGTTTACACACCTTCACTGGCGGTGATGGAGCATGACACTAAATATTTCACATTCACAATGAGATTAATAAAATATCCTATGCTACACTATGTCGCTAACCGACCAGAAGCATAATAGGAGCGGTTACGCTACGCAAAACGAGTTGAAAACACACACAAGTCAACAAGCATGAGTGTCTGTTTTAATGTAACGTTACCTCCAACCAAGAGCTCCGCCGAGTCCCGTTATCGTCGCTAGCCGCTCAGCATGGAGTCAAAAACCGCAGAAACGCTGTCCATTGACCGAGTCTATCAAAGAACAACCGCTAAACCAGCCGGCACCGACTCGAAATCGCTCAAAAGTGACATAAACTCTAACATTTCCTTCCCATGTCCTTGTCTTTCCCCTCCAGTCGAGCTGCTCCCTCAGTAACCTAGAAATGTTTCGGCTAACGTTAGCTCGGCTCGGTCTTTACGTCGCTATGACGACATTCGGCAGATGCTGTAGGTTTTTTTTTTTTTACAGTAAAACTACAGTAGCTGACGTTTTCATTTTAGGGCGTGACTCGGCGGGCGCGTTCCAAACGAGACACTTGCAGTCTACGTAGGGCACCTTTGAAGGGAGAACGCTCATGGTAACCGTTGTCCATGGGCGCCTCACTGGTTGCATTCCAAACGGCAAAAATGCAGCCTCTGTAGGGCACTTCAAAAGACGCCCGTTTTTAAGTGTGCTTCCAAACTGAAGTGCGCAAAACAAACCCCTCCCTCACTTAGTAACTGTTGTTAACGCCATGTTTCCTGCTGCCTTGCTGTCGGTCTAAGGGTCTTCGTAGGCAGTGTTTTCCTTCAAGGTCTCTCTAAAGAAATTTAGTATAAGGAGGATTTAAGCAGCGATATGTCACGATGTTGCTAAAATAAGAGTTGACAGTTATAGCTATTAACACCTGGTGGTCATCTAGACTAACGTCGGCTCATTTGGCTCCAAAAAAGACAGACAGCCTAGATGGAACAAATGTATGAAATTAGCATTTTAGCCAGCAAAGTTAATACTACAATCACACACTGCCTATTTCTTAGAAAAAATCCTCTCACAAACAAAGTTTGCTACCGCCTCTACCTTACAAACGGTTACAAACGCACCTCTGGGTCACATGGTTAGCCCAGTTGTAATAATGATTAGATGTGAGAATTGTGTACACAGAAGTAGAGCTATGATTCCTTCAGCTTCGAAAAATGCCAGTGATGTTCGTCCTCCATGGCTTTTATTTTCAACTACTGCACAATGAGGACTAACCCTTCAGAGTGTTTACTGTGAAGGGGATGAGAATTAGAATTAGGGATTAGGGAGTAGGGCACAGGCGTGATCTCTACTGAATGTAACAGACAGTTACAAACGCAAGCCTTGTTTTCTTGTATGAGGTAGAGCAAATCACAAAAAATAGACATGCACTGCGGTCTACTGTACTTTTTAAAAAAAAGAAAGGAAAGAAAAAGGGGTAAAAAAAGAATTTAGCTTTACTATGGATTTTAGCCTCAATCTCAATCGAATACAATCTAATATACTTTATCAACTTGTACTTGCAGCAGTTTTTATTGACAACGAGGAACTTCAACTTATCCCTGGTGACCCTTTAATTATGGGAAATGTATTTCTAATTTCAGACCTGTGGGTTTCTGGACATTTATTGAAACTACATTTCCCACTTACTAAAGCCAAACCTTCCAATATTAAAAACACAGCGAGTTATCTAACACAAACAGTGACACCTTGTGGTAAAGGGGAATTTCACAGATTTTTCAAAATTTCTGCATAAAGATTCTTAAGATGTAAACATAGTCATTCAAAATTTATGTGAAATTGTAATAGTGTAATAGTGCACTGTAAAGAAACTTACCTTACTGACTTAGATTTCTTTACAGTGGTGGAGATTGGGGATTGTGATGTCTACAACACAAATATAACCATTTTACTATCCTAAACGACCAGTGAACCTACGTGTGTCTTCAGAATTTTATATATAATGCTGATAGTAAAATAGTAATGAATCTATAAATAAATAAAATGTTTTTGGGGGGTTTTATTTGGCCTTATAACACCCTGCATGATTCTACACTATTTAGTCATAATTATGTGGACACCTGACCATCACACCTATATGAACTTGTTGGACATCCCATTCCAAAACCCATGGGCATTAATATGGAATTGGACCCTACTCAGCGGCTATAACAGCCTTTTGGGAAGGCTTTCCACAAGATTTTGGAGTGTGTCTGAATTTGTGCCCATTCAGTCAAAAGAGCATCTTTGAGGTCAGGCACTCATGTTGAACGAGAAGGCCTGGCTTGCAATTGGCTTTCCAACTCATCCCAAAGGCGTTCAATGGAACTGAAGCCAGGGCTCATGCAGGCCACCGGAGTTCCTCCACAGCAAACTCATCAAACCATGTCTTCCTGGACCTCGCTTTGTGTGCAGGGGTACAGTCATGCTGAAACAGGAAAGGAACTTCCCCAAACTATTGCTTCAAAGTTGGAAGCATATAATTGTCTAAAATATCTTTATATGCTGTAGCATTAACATTACCCCTTACTGGAACAGCTCCAGACCATTATCCCTCCTCCACCAAACTATGCTGTTGGCAGTAAGCATTCTGGTAGGCAGCATTCTCCTGGCATCCGCCAAACCCAGATTCTTCCATTAGACTGCCAGGTAGTAAAGTGTGATTCATCATTCCAAGGAAAATGTTTCCACGGCTTCAGAATCCAGTGCCCTACACCACTCCAGCCAACTCTTGGCATTGTACATAGTGATCTTAGGCTTGTTGTCAGCTGCTTGGCCACGAAAATGTATTTCATTAAGCGCCTGACGTGCAGTTTTTTTGCTGATGTTGCTTCCAGAGATGGTTTGGAATGCTGCAGTGAGTAGATATGTTGTAGATCGGCGGCCGCACTCTCTGATTTTGTGTGGTCTTCCGCTTCACGGCTGAGCTGTTCTTGCACTTAGATGCTTCCATTTCACTATAATAGCACTTACAGCTGACTGGGGCAGATCTAGCAGGCCACAAATTTCATGAACTGGCTTGTGGCGAAGGTGGCATCCTGTGACAGTGCCATGTTTAAAGTCACTGAGCTGTGAGAGAAACTCTTCAAATGTCTGGTTCCTATCACCACCACTGTGAACAAGTCTGCAAGTTTTTCTAGAATGGAGCATTTCACATTCTTTCACATTGCTCATAACATTTTCTAAATACCTGGAACAGTTTTCTGTAGGCTAGAAAGGACAGAAATACAGGCCTAAAATATTTACAATAATCATACATTATTTATAATACTTAATGTTTTTGAAAATTTTGAGGGTGAAGTGGCTGAAGACTTTATAAAAAGAATCTCTGTTCCATAAAGGATATTTAAATTATTATGTTAATAAGATTTTACAAAGAGTCTTTTCACCAAAAAGCTTTTGTACCTCAGGCCAGTCTTAGCTTGAAGCTAGGCTCTAAATTTCTTTAAATCTAATCTGCCTCAGGGATGCTCAACCCTGTCTATGGCAGTCTGCCCCATACAGTTCTGTTCCAAGCATAATCCAATTTACCTCTGGCTGAAATCTTCATGTCTCTGTATTAAAGTAAAGTGTGATAAAGTAAGGCCGAAAATAAACTCCTGGCCCACTCAGCCCACCAGACTCTCCTGGCTGTGTTCTGTCAGAAGGAATAGCAAAGACTGAAAGTAATCTGTAATGCATTAATGAACTTAAACCAAAGGGGCAGCAGTGGTCCTCAGGAGGCACTACTGCATTTCAGCATGGCTTAAATCCTGAAGAGCACCTAACAGCACTGAACAATCGACCTCTTGAAGAACTTTGTGCAGGGTAACTTAACTCACCTGACTAGTCTGCGTCTAATTGACCAGATCAGGTGGGGTAGATCCACGCTGGAGCTGTGCTTTCCAGCAGATCTCCAGGAGCAGGGTCAGAGTCCACTTCTTCTGTTAACTCAGGTGTGTTGGAGTGCTGATGCTGCAGAAACCAAGAAGCCTCTAAGTTTACAGGCTTTTCCTGGCGTGATGTATTCCTTTCCTACATAATTTTCACCAAGAACGCTTGTTTGGGTTGAACTGTTTTTCATTTTTAGTCTATTTGCTTAGTTAAACCGACCAGTCTAAAGAGACTAAGCTAAAGGAGATTTAAAGTGCTCATTAATACGTTCTGAAACGAAACTAGCATTCAGATGCTGCTGTAGACTCAGGTGTCCTGCCTGCAACTCAACTCACGAGCACTCTTCCATTTGACACTGTTGCAGTCCTGCAGACCTCATCTGTACATGCCTGTGAGGACCACAAGGCTGTAGGGCAGAGATCTTCAAATACAGATCTTGAATCTAGTTTTTTAGTTTGAATTTTGTAATCACTGGTAGGTATGACAGTAGTCAACAGTTCAGTTTATTAGCAGTGATTACACAATGTGAGACTGCACACTGGATTCAAGGTCCAAGTACTCTGCTGTAGGGTGTCCCATTCTGAGACATATATAGGTAATCAAAACTATACTTTTTACTTTTTTTCCCCGCATATCAAACAAAAATGAGGCAAAATGTTTGGAAGTGACAAAAACACTATTTTCCATTTTGGAAAAACTAAATGAGAACAGAGAGATTAATAGCTTCATTTAGAAGCTGGAATGTAGTTTGGATGTCTGTTACATATAGTTTAGATGTCTGCTCATGGAGATGACCACACATGACAAAGCAAAAGACTAGCTAATCCAAATTCTAACTGGTGGAACTCAAGCTGATCCATCATCTTGGTTGTCGTCATGCCAACACCAGAGACAGCAGTGATTGGTCAATGAGTTTATGTCACTGCATAAATCGAACAGAGGGCGAATAAAATGATGTTGCATTTTCGCCTTCCGACAGATTGTTTGGATTGTAAGATATGCTCAATTGCACGCATGTTCCAATGAATTTTTGTGATGTTTGAATATATTGTGCTCAATGTGCCATGGCCTCTGGCATGAACGCACTGATGCAAGCTCAGGAGCGCTCTTTACGCCAAATGGAGAAGATATTCAGGTGTGAGCTGAAATGCATTCGTTTATTAATTGAATTTGTTTTGCATTATGCTTGTAGTATAGATTGAGCCACTGTAGACAAGCAAAGTATCTCATTAGCTCAAAATGAATATGACTTACACTCCAAAGGTCTACTGTTCTTAGATGTCACCAAAGTGCAGACTTCTGAGGTGGACCGCAGGGCTTAGGGTACTTTTTGGAACAAGGCTAGAGATTCACAATCATAGGGTTTTTTTACCTTATTCCTAGGAAATGAGATTATTTTACTTTTCTTTCTTCCAGATACTTTTTGAAATTTACAGAAAACCATCTAGGCAAGTTCCAGTTTTTGGTAAAATAACAAGGGCTGAGACTATAAGTTTCTAATATTGAGTAGGCAACCAATGGAAACCGTGAGTAGGAACCCCAAAAGTTCAAACTGGTTAATCATTTTGGTACACACAGCTGGTAAATGTGATTTCTCTTTAATGTACGCTGAAGCAATCATTATAATGGAAAACAATACAGAAGTTGGTGTAATAGCACAGGGAAAGAGGCCACCTCTTAGTATAAACTACTTAACCTATATTTCAAACAAAGTTCTGGATGATCTACGCCATCCTTTGCAATATAAAGAAGGGGGCACTAGCAATTTGGCAGCTTAAGAAGGACTTTATCTAGCTGTACACAGCAATACAACTGTCTATACACAGACAATATCAAACAGTTCTTTACTTACATACAGGCTTATAGCATCATTTGCATATAAGCATCCGCTAAGCTGTAAAGAATTTATTTCATAATATCGCACGCCTGTTTTCTGATGAAGTTTCATGGATTGGTCCATGGAGGAGTGAAGTGGACCCTGTAATCTCAGTCTTGGAAAAATGCCCACACTGCCAGTACTAAGCACTACTACAATGCTCAGAGTGCTACTGTTATGCCAATAAAGTGACAAACGTTTGCAATTGCAGTCAGAATGTTTTAAATGGGTAATTCAGGAAGACACGTTTTCTATTTTTTTTTTATAACAGTTTGGAGAAATATGCACATCTTTTAGAAATCTTTAATCTGTTCTCATTAAACCAGCTCTAGGCCGTTATTATTCATTTTGCTGATTTTGACTCTCGGCTCTTCCCCTGAAAATGAACTTTTTAGTTCAACATTGCAAAGTTTTTAGCTCTAAAACCTACTGATCATAACTTTAATCTGAAAGTGGGAATTAACAGGCTTACTGCTGCTAAACAACCAGCAGCTGCAATGTGTAAATGGCAGATCAAGTCCTATATCAAGTCGATATCTTTCATTTTGTGGTGTTTAGTAACTGCAATTTTAGCACCAGACTGACTTTTCTTTCCTCTTTCCAGTGGATCCATATACAGCACTGTGCAAAAGTCTCAGGTACCTAACCAACCTATTTAAAACCATTTATGTGGACATGAACTGCATTTTTGCTTGAAAAACACCATGTAATTAGATAATTAGATGCAAATAAATGCAAATAAGCAGGAATGCAGTAGATTTCATGTTTGCAAAAACTTCTTTGATATCTTTTGAGCTTGTTAGAGGAACCAAACTTTGTTCCATCACATGCATACCTGATTAGAACTGATTACCCAAACTAGGTATTGGACAGCTGTTATTGGATAACAGCAAAAAAATAATGGGCTCCCTCAAGAAGAGGTATGGAAATGGTTAGGCTTACAAACTGACACAGATACAAATCATTACTTGTCGTGTTAATATCATTTGTGTTTATTCTAATGTTAGTGTTGTTGTGAGCAAAAAACACTTCCTAGCCAGAAAAATGGCTTTTTAAAAATAATTTTCTCAAGTGACTTTTGCACAGTACTGTATGTCTAATATAAGCTTCACCAGGCCATTAGAGAGAGCCTGGAGAACAGAAAACAGAACAAAAAACAGCACCAATTTTTTAAATAATTAGCAAAAGAGATGCATTACATAACTCACAGAAGACAATTTTTCACAACAGTCGTTTAGCTGCATAATGCTAATGGAGAATGTATTAGATGTGCACATAAATAAACCCAACATCCAAAAACAAAAACTAAATACTAAACACCCAGTGTTAAGGGTGAACTGAGAGGTACAGACGTTTGAAATGAAAGAGGACGAGGACACGCCACACACGTTTCCCCACTGATGTGCTTGTTTCCATGGATACCAGGTGAGTGACAACTGTGCACTGAGCTTCAGATCATCTGTTCTTTAAAAGAAATCAAATTTCCATTATACCTTATGATCTCAGTGGTTTGGTGACATGCAGACTAAGAGTGCATGAACAGAGATGCTAGAGACCAGTGAGCAGCACAGTGGGAGCTCTCAGCTGTGTACAGCTGTACAGCTTTGTTATGCCAAGTGTCTGCACTAGTTGGGTTACCTTGTCCATGCACTACTGCACTTTCTGTAGGCTTTAAGCTTGTCGCTGCCTCTGAACTGTTTCTGTATTGCACCACCGACAACAGTATGCCCTAAGAATGAGAGAACAGTCAGACAGTGGGTCAAAGTGTGTGTGTCTGTGTGCTTTTCTAGAGTGTACTAACATGATATACAACATACTTCACAGCATACATATGGGGATGAACTAGAACTATTGGGACAGATTAAAACAGAGGGCTGAGCAGATGAATAAATTAAAAGTCTGTGGGTCGCTGCTTACCCCGTCATTATATACACTTCTGTACAAACAATAAAAGTACTTTTACTTTTGCCCTCAGCTAGTGCTTAAAAGTAAACTATTTTGAAGCAGAGACTTCACTGAATGCATTAATAAAGGTTACAAAGTGTAAAAGAAATCTGTGTGTTTAAAACATCTGTTATGAGTTTAGCTTATTAGGAGATAGACAGTGTCACGAGATTTAAGCAGCTGAGTTGTCAGTGGCGAAGGCGACATGCATTTGTGAAATATTTTGCACATAAACATTAAAACAAACACTTTCTTTTAAGTAAAACACTTGCGATATAAGAAAATAAAGCCGGCTTTGACACTCTCTTCTTTAACTTTTATATCTCTTTAGGCCTCTTTGCTCCTTGGCCAAATACTTGCTCTCTTCCTAGACTCATGTATCAATTAATCAAGACAGATGCCAGATTTGAGTTATGGAGATTTACAGTGTGATAGCAGGGGACCAGCCACGGAGTACTGTTATGAAATCTTAAGCTAATGAAGACAGATTTGAAGAGAATATATAGGAAAAGTTATGAAGATTTACAGTGTGATTGCAGGGGTCCAGCCACAGAGTACTTTTTTGAAATCTAAGAATAATGAAGACGGACTGCACTTTGGCTGCTGCCCAGCACTCACCCCATGCTTCATATGTCTCTCAAAATAAAATAAACTAACCTTGCAAAAATGATTAAACTATAATGGATTAAACTCTCTTATGGGTACTATATTACTTCAGGTTACGTCCATAGTTCAGCCTCAAGGTAATATACAACAAAGCAGAATTTGGCACGATAGAAGAGCAAAGTTTGAAGAAAGAGAAAGAAAGTACAAGGAGGCAACAGTTACTGAATTCTACACAGGGTACAAAACCAGGAGAGGTCTAATCCTCTCTTCTGTATCTTTATCCATCCAGCACTTTGCACAGTCCAATCAGGAGTCAAAGTCTCTCCACTGGAATAAACACGTGTTTACAGGCCACCGGTGCAGGTGAAACCCTCTATCCCCCTTAGATGGCTTAATAACGTCATAATAAATCTTAATAAACCTTAACAAAGTCTTAATAACTCATCCTCTTATGCAATGCGTGGTGCAGAGCGGTCGTTGGTCATGGTCTTTTTCAGTTTAACTCCACGCCGTATAGCCAGAAGCATGGTGTCTCCCTGCTGTTCCTCCAGGTCCAGATCATCTAGTGCTCCCTCTGGCCCTTCCATCCCTGCAGCCGTGAGCTGCTGCCCAGGAGGCAGAGGAGGGTTAGTAGAGGCTTGACCACTCCAGGAAGCCACAGGCAGAATGCCCTCCTGTTCCCCGTCCTCGCCTAGCGTGGGGGAGCCCGGGCTGGCCAACTCCTCCACCTCCTCATTACTAGGAAGCGAAAAGCCCCCTGGAAAATCAGGCACAGTAGGGGTCACGACTGGAATCACAGGTGTTTTGATGGGGATGGGGCCAGCGCCACCTGTGGCTCTGCGGACTGAGGGTTTGGAGGAAGGGGTCCTGCGGATGGTGGCCACCCCGGGTGTGACTATGACCGGTCCTGGTGTAGATGGGAGGCCGGCAGTGGAGGCCGGGCGTTTGGCCTGGAAGAGCTTGCGGTAAGACTGGCTGATGTCACTGTTGCGTGGGATGGTGGATGATTTGTCAAAATCCTGCTGATCTGCCTCGTGGTCGCCGCTCACGGAAAAGTAGTCGTAGTCAGACACTGAGGGCAAGATGGAGGTGTGGATTGTTAGAATCCGTCGGAAAAGTAAGAATTATAGAACAGACTTTTAAAATCTGATTAGCTGAGCCACATCTGAAAATAATAACTGCGTTCCGTCTGGGGCCTCATGACTTAGTATTTAAAAAAACAACCAGCTAAATGTTTAAAACCAGCTAAATTATTAGATTAAAAAAAGAAAAAAGAAACTATTCACAGAGCTACACACATACCCTGAGAAGGGATGGTGTCCTCAGAGCAGCAGGGTGTGGTGGTCTGTGTGCTGTAGCCACTGGAGCACTGGAGAGAGTCCCTGCTGGACCGCTGAGTGTCCAGCTGCAGTCCACGAGACAGGGCCAGAGCCAATTCCTCACGAGCCTCCATATCCTCCTCCTATGAACACGCACACAAAGAGGGGTGCACACACACATTCAGAAATACTGCTTAGATATCCTCCATACTAACACTGCAAACCAAAAAATAAAAAATTAAAGAAATGTTACTCATTGAAAAGCTTTAAAGCTTGTGGGTTCTTGGATACTCGGGAATAGACCTGATATAGGATAGAATGTTCACAGGAGAATATGCCTCTGGAATATTCTCTTTAGTCTTTTCCAAAATTTGTTTTAGTATCTACAGGTTTATTGTTCCAAATCCCTGTATGTTGGACAGCTGACAGCTTTCTCTTTGCACTTTAATCAGCCTGAAGCTCATTTTCATTTCAGCAGAAGGGTTGCTGAGGTGTTTCAGACTCTTAATAGTGGTATTTTGATTTCATTCAGATATGCATCTTTAATTGCAAGCCAGTTGATCTCTAAACTAAAACTGAGATTTAGATGCTGTAAATTCAAGCTGACTGACCTTTGGTGGGGGACCCATGCTCCTGGCCTTCTGGCTGTCCTCGGGGAGAGCGGAGCCTGGGCTCGGCTGGAGAGAGGCGTTTGAATCCGCGGCCTCCTTTGGCTCCTTTTTCTTTCTCAGTGTGTTCACCATGGGCTGATCATATGGTCCTGGCTTAGCCCAGTCCTGCAGCCAGTACAACATTCAAGCATTACTCATTCAACTAAACTGCAGGGTAGATCAAACATCTACTGCATTCTCAATACTGATCACTAGATGGCACCATTAATCTGTGTTACATCTATTGAGGTGCAGATCTTGTGAAGTATCCGGTTATGAAAGGCTAAATCAGCGGTACTAAGTCCTGATCCTGGAGATCTACCACCCTGCAGGGTTTAGCTCCAACCCTAATCTAATACACCAGATCCAGGTAATGAATGGCATCAGGAGCATCTGAATATTAGAGCCAAAGTGTGTTGTATGTGACCTCTGCAGGGTAGGAGATCTCCAGGACCAGGATTGGGCACCCCTGGGCTAACTACGGACTTTAATACCAGCATTGCTTTGGAAGCATTTACCCAGTGTGTGAATGGCTGTTTGAATCCTGTCTTGTTTGTCTAATCAAGGTCCCATAAGGCTGTTCTCTGCTGGAAAAAAATAACTGACATTCCACTCTGGTGGCTTTACATATCCAGACAACACTGTGTCACTTGGAAGTTGAAGCTAGTTCCATGAATTTGCCAAAAACATAAAGCCAAATAATCCAGGGGGACTTCAGTGGCTTTAAATTAAAAACTTGCCTAATTATACTGTGAATGGATAAACTTTTTAAATTCAGTATAATTTCTCAATAGGTCAGGCAATATGTGCAATATGCATTTTTAACCATAATTAAACATTTGAGGGAGGAAAAGAATATTTAATTTCATGATTTTGACCATGATGATTTCACTAAAGATGAGTGTATCAGTGCTGCCCTCTAGGGGAGACTACTGCGTACTAATCCACACGGCAACCTCATCTTTGAGGAACAAAAAATAGCCGGAAGACAACTGGATGCGATGAAGGGAGTGAGAACTTAAGGGACGGACGAACCTTCCAACTGGGGATCTTGGAGGATGGGGGGAGCATGCCGGGACCCAGCGTGCAGTAATGGGGGTAATCGGGCAGGAGGCCAGAGCCTGGCCTTGACCATGACCTCAGCGTGGATGAGGAGGAGGAGGAAGATGAGGAGATGGAAGAGGAAGGAGGGGGGAGGAAGGGGAAGGCCCCTCCGGAGACCCCACCGGACAGGTACGTGGACTCTCCAAGCCCATAGTGATCGTAGCCATTGGACAACTGAGGGCATGCGGCGGAGTGGACGGGATAGAACCAGACACAAACAACAAACAAAACAGGAAAGAAAAAAACAACACACAAATGAATGAACAGACAAACACATAAGATGACAAAAGGCAAATAATAAGACAAATAAGGTAAAATAAGGGGCAGGGTCATCATACTGCAGATAATAACAGACGAGGTGCAGAAAAACAACCCTTGACAACTGAAACAAATATGGAGTACATGTGTGTCCATCAGCACAGATTCCACACTGAAATGCAGTGAGAAAATACTGAAGGAAGGGGATAAAGCGTCTGGTAAGTGAGTGGTCCCACTGATGAGAAAGCCAATAAGAATAGCTCCAGTGAGGAGAGGGCCAACAGCGAGTTCACCTTTTCAGTGGAGGCGGAGGCCCCGGCTGAGCCGAGGGAAGTAGGAGAGCTGCACTCGCTGACCGATTGACACGTCTCGGAGGCATCCGATGAGCCAGAGCTGGAGGTGGTCTGCAGCATGCACAGCAGACAGAGTGACAGTGGGAAATACATACACAGCGTGTAAAGAGATCACAGCATACAGCCAGCATGAAAGGAATAAAAAGAGAGAGAGACAGAGACAGACAGACAGACAGGGTAAGGGAGAGAGCATAGAAAAATCCACACGTTAGGCACTATGCAAAAAAGCAGCAGAAACGCCAGGCAGAGTTAGTGTGGCTGAAATCAGAGTAAACAGCTGCATTAGAGTAGGAGCAAGCCACAGGGCTCTGCTAATTCACATCTGTCAGGTTCTTGGAACAGAGAGAGTGAGTGGGGGAAAAAACAGACATCCAAGCATTTAGGAGCACGTGTGAGCTGGAGAGTCGACCGCCAGAGTGTTTTCTCTTGGCCTGCGGTGAGCGTGGCGGTGGCGGCTGGCAGGAGCTCCGAGCCTCGTGCTGTGATCTGATTTAGAGGCTGGATGATACTCGACCCTGTATGATGGCATTGCTGGCGAAGGACCTGAAACCGCAGCCCCAGTCTTTGGAGAAACCAGGAGCTGGTTTTGCCAAAGCAGAGCTTCCACTGTGGTCAGCCCTCTAACCACTTTTAGCGAGGATGACCTCAGCATCTTCCGCCATTCCCAGACCGGCATTTCCAGAGGGAGTTCAGTGAGGCCGCTTTAGGAGGCCGTAGGACGCCTTCAGCCCGCGCAGCGATCATGAACTGGAGCAGCACAGACCGCTGGCAGACACTGTGACACATTTTGCGGGTGTCTGGCTGAATTGCAGGGCTTTTTCAACAGGGGGGGGAAAGTAAGCTCTGCATAATTAGACTTTAGAGTCAAAGTTGGCTATTCATACTCATCTTGGACCAGCTACACTCTTTCAAAACTTAAAGGCATAGCTTTAACCAAAATGTTAAAGTGACTAACAATGACCAGAAGCTGGTCAGCAGTTAGCATGGTCATTCACGCCTCAACAGCTTCCACTCACTGCTAGCCAGATTAGCATCTAGTTGAACTTTTCCTTTAAGGTTCTCCATTACTGCAGAGCTGGACTCAGATCGTTCGCAGAGGGTAAACTCTGCCAACTACACAATAAGACTGGCTCTCCTGAGGGCTGGCTGTGCCTCATGGGAAAGTGGAAAGCGTAGCCTGGGAGAGGAAATGGAAGAGCACAGCTGGACACCCTTTGGCTAGATGCTAACTCACTCCTAAATTAATGTAAATAGTTAGAGAATGACTGTGGATAGAACTACAAACTACAAGATACCACCTGCATGTGAGGTTCTGAGGTGGAATTTACTTTAAGACCTTAGAGATGAAGGATCAAGCAGGACCTGGGGGCTCTCTCACAGACTGTGGGATGAGGGGGCGGGATTGGGATTCTCTTTCCTATAATCTTTCAAATGTCGACAGGGGAAATACACTCTCCTTAGAGTGGGAGAGAGTACATGAAATACAGTCAGTATTTCCAAGGTGCATGACACATAACCAATATGAGCACCATAAGGTGGTGGTGTTAGTTTACCTTTTCTGGAGGCGGTAACTGAACTCTTACCTGTGGGGCGGAGTCAGAGGGCATGGGCGAAGGCGACTTGGACTGGAAGGCGTCGTGTGAGACGAAGCCCGAGTCATGGGAGGAGACGCTGGCGAGACGGACAGGGGCCTGCTGCGGCAGAGTGGAGCTGCGGTAGCGATAGTGTGGGGAAGGGGAGTGAGAGTGCGAGCCACTGGAACGCGAGTCACTACTGTTCACACTGTTCAGACTGCTGTTAGAGACAGGAAGGGGGCAGGGCACAGGCAGGAAGTGGGACAGAACAGAGGGGAGGGAGGGGAGGGAGACCGGGAACCATTAACACTCCACACAAACTCAATGCAGCAGGCAAAAATAAAATAGGAAAACCAAAACATAACCACAACGTGAGGCATGAAACATGAAACAAACAAAAAATACTTGCTTCCCTTTGGGAGGGTTTCAATTAATCAGGTTCAGTCTAGCATGTCTACCCATAAAGTACTACTATAGTGCATATAGCTAAAAAACCTACATAATCTAGACAAGTGTTTCCCAACCCTGGTCCTGGAGGCCCACTGTCTAGGACATTTTACACACCCACTTCAACTCAGTAAGAGGTAGTTGGATCAGGTGAATTGGGAGCAGGGAAAACAATAACAGTGGGCCTCTAGAACCAGGGTTTAGGCTTCAAATGTAGAGCTGGGGCCACTTATTGATTTATCAATAACAACTGATAATGAGCATGAAACCATTAAGCAGAATTCATCACTTTTTTTCTTTCCATTGTTATGCATTAGTGCTCTGTGCTCTGATCCATTACTGGAAACTCTAGTCCTGGTTTTATGGTTTTACTATATTAATACACACAGCAGTGAGTCAGAAGCAGATTTTTCATTCTTAATTATAATTTAATGTTTAGTCATTATGAGGTCTTTTCACATTACAAATTAATTTTTGCAAATTTAACATGCTTAAACCTTCACATCAAGTCCTATGCACATTTTCTTTTAATTGTAAACTTGAGAAACATACAAAAAGAAGAAGAAATGGATTCATCAAGAAGTAACAGGAATGGAGCTCTCATTTTTCTTATAGCCTATGCAACTCAAAAGACGCAGATACTGGTTAACAGCCCATTCTGCTAATATTAAAAGATTCATTACAGAGAATGGGGAGTTCCATTGACCAGCAGTGCCCCAAAAGCTCTACAGCAGCATGTGCAGTGGAGCTCGAGGCTCTGCTTTAGCTCAGTGTCAAGGCACCAAAACTATTGAACAAACTAAAAGAGAAACCATGGGCTCTAAAAGGGAAGATGCCATTCGTATTCAAGTAGTATTCAGCTAATATTTAAAACTTTGTTTTGCTCTATAAAACTCAACTCATGACTGTGAAAAGGCTTTAGGGCTCTGTTACCCCCTCTGCCGAAAATTAAAACTGTCCTAGATGTACTAAATATGTAACTACAATATACTCATGGTTGTAAACAATGAAAAATAATTATACTGTCAATATTTATCGATAATTTACTGTGTTTTTTTGACATTGCTCATCATCCCAGCCTTATTCAAATGGACCAAAATGTAATTTCACATAAGCTGTATGTTTTCTTATTTATACAAGTTGTTAAAACCTAAGAAGGCCAAGAATGGCGGCCTGCAGAACATCACTGATATTATACAGGATAATTACTGTGTGCCCTGATTGATATTTTTAGATACTGCTCTAAAATCAGGGCTCTTGGCAAATGAAGCTCCTAAAGTCTCTTCATACCCAGTGAGAAAGAAAAGTATTGCCAAAGGGAAGAGCTTAATAGTGTAATACATCAACATAAAAAGAGACAAGAAATAAAAACCAGGAAGGTGAAGATTGTCCACCGTAGTGTAATGCTACAGCTTTCACCAGTTAGAACCGCGTGATCTTGGGTAGTGCGACTAAATCGTGAGGACTGACGATAAACAGAGAGCAAAGACAAAGCAACGCAGGCATCATCACACAAACTGTTTCTGTATGGAAACAGTTCAACGGACCGTATGACAAACAGTGCATACAGCTGGACACATATAGGGTGGAAGGGGTTGGTCAAGGGCATCTTAATGCAGAGATTTAAAATACAGGCTATTTCATTTAATATGTCTTGAACAAAAATCCAGCACCTCTGATTCATACATCTCATTTACCTTCCAGTTCAAATTGTAAAACGTTGATGGACTTAAATTAGTATTCGTTTTATATAACCACAATTGTCAAACTTCACAACAATTCAATACGTGCAACAATCCAAGACACTTGAGTTAGTTAAATCATGTGATAAAAAAATGTTCTTTATATTCAACACTAGGAGGCACTGTGAGCATTTCTTTGCAGTGAAGTGCTTTTTTGACTGTTTCAAGGCCAGTTGTAAAAAAAAAAACAAAAAAAAAACAATTTGTCATGCTCTTAAAGATTTCACATTAGTGAGAAACCAAGTAATATGCTTACCTGCACATACTGGACTTCCTGGACATAGTGGTGCTTGGAGAGGAAGGAGGGGTTTGGTAAGACCAGCTGTAATCCGAACCCTTCAGGTCGTGTATGACCTATGTGTGGCAGACACAAACGCATGCAAAAGACAAGCTTTATTGCTGTTTTCCAGTGAACTGCGTATTACTGCAGGAAAATATTACTAAGTTTAAAGCTAAAACCAACTTAAGATCAGCAACCCATAATAAACACTAAAGGCTTTTTAGGTTTCCAAGGTAAGATCACACTGGTATTTATTTTTTAATATTCATTTTTAAAAGTCCAAGCATCTACTAATTATCAATGTTCTGATTGAAACCCAGCAGAACAAACAGAAACAGAAATTCTGTGTCAGAACAAAAGCTGTCACAGGCATGGCTTATCTGCCCCCGACCTTGAACAAGCCTGTCAGAGTTTGACAGTTAGTCGAAGTATCACGTAAAGGAAATGATTAGTCACCGACTATCCAGTTCTTCCACTGTGACTACAGACTGATTTGCACGATCCACTGGCAACCATGATACTACTGATGAAAGATGACATGTCAGGTGAAGCCAGTTTACGAAGGGTGACAAAAGGACATCTACTGTACCTACATAACAGAATTCCATTCTGTCCATATGAACAAATAAAGCTAAAACAACCTTTAAAAAGGGAGTTTTACTTGCACAGAAGAGAAACTACACTGTAGATTTAGGACCTACTAAAAGATACAAGGAACCATATCTGTTCCTTAAAGTTGTTAATAATTTATTACATGAGCATAACATCTTCACAGGGTGGTTTATCTATTAAAGTGAAAATGTTTATGGACTTGCTGGCAAATGAACAAACCTGTTCACTTGCAGGGGGCAGTTTGTGGGGGTCCATGGTCAGAGCTTTGAGGTCATCAGCAATGGTCTGCAGATGGATGATCTCTCCCAACATGGACATCTCTTCATCCTGACAGAGAGATAACAAGACGTTTCAGTTCAGAACATTACATCTGAACTAAGCTGCATGCCTGAATCATCCTGATGTCTTGCGGTACGCTGCACTGATGTGGCTGCTTAATAAGAGCCATATGTTTAAATATAATAAATATAACATGTTTAGATGTTTGATTAGTTTCTCAGTTTTCAATCATACCCTTTTCATAATACTGCTGGAGTCTGACCATTAACCACTAAAAAAAAGGTGTCACTTCTCGGGTACTTGTCTAACTAAAATCATCAAGTATAGTTTTTAGATTATGCTGCAGTCTCTTTTATGCAAGCTAACCCTGGACTAATACTGCAAGTGAACCTCATGGTCTCCGCCTACTTACCACCACAGGCCGGAGCATAGCTACAAAGGTACAGAAGCGTGCTCTCTCCTCGATCAGCGCCTTCCGCACTGCCTGCTTTTCAGTTTCCTCCAACAGCAGGTATTTATCGTTCACATCTTGGACGGCGCTGTCCAACTGTGGCTGGATGTCCCCTCTCCCTGCAACGAGCAAAACAGCGCTCACATAACCAATCAGTGATTTTCAGCCCATGTCTAAGGGGTTGCAATACACCTTATGGAACACATTTGTCTTGGGTGAGTTCAAGAAACCCATGTATCTGTCTCAGAGTGAGACTACTGAGCTGAGACCTGCTTTTGGATTTAGTCTTATTTACTGACAACGTGTGTGTATATATATATATATATGTGTATATATGTATGTGGTAGGAGTGGGCAATATGACAATATTTTATCGCTATCATGGTAAGTTATGTCACTACACTTTTCAGAGCACATTGTGGATATCGTCAGTGCTTAAAACACTAATTGTATGTTTTATCACAAAGTGGGCGTAACTAGATCAGTTTAACTGGAATTAGTGCAGTGCTGTATGTTAAACACTGAATATAAATCACTGTAGTTATAAGTATATTATTATTATAGTATTTTATATGTGGCACTACAGGTTCTGTTTTGTCTGTTTCAACATATTAAATCACAAAAAAATAAAGAAATATCGTAACTTGTATTATGAATCGTGAAAATGTCTTGAAGGTATCGCCATATAATATTTTTGCCATATCACCCACCCTTACATACAGGTTCCAATCCATTTCTGCCAACAATATACTGTGGTGTGTGAAAGTCAGAGAACACCCTTTCATTTATCCAATTTCCAGTCAAAATAAGTTTTTCATTTTTACAGTCTCAGAAAAAAGCAGAAAACAAACACTATTAACATAAAAATTACACAAAACCACCCAACACTAAGCATAACATCAAATCTACTGGTATTTGTCTACTACTTGGTTTTTGTGCACCGTACTGCCAGTTTAACTTTTCCATGCCAACAAAAGCTGTTCCCAAAGCAGTCACTGATAATATGTTCCTCTTCAAAGAGACACTAACAATCACACAAGCAACTACCCAAACACACCTTAGCTGCCTTATTAATTTCTTTGTAAAGTCAAAGGAAAATAAGGGACTTTCCAAAACTAGAGTTCAAAAAAATATTTAAAAGTTACTTAAAGCTTTCATCTTTGAGAAAAAGGAGAAAAATCAAGCTCCACTCTTGCTTCCACAAGTGTTTTTGTCCATCCTTCCACTGTGAGAGGACAACTCAACACTATGGGTCTGAAAGGATGTGTAGCTGTAATGAAGCTGTTACTGAGAAAAGGGAATAGATAAAACAGAAGAACATTTGCACTAGAACACCATTACTGGACATCTGAGACGTGGAGTGTGGTTTTATGGACTGAGTCTAAATTGTAATAGGCATTACTTGGATTGTGCAACCAACTTCTAAAACTGAACTTGTGGTGTGGAAAAATATTCTTGCAGAAGAATGGAAGCAGAAATTAAGGCAAAGGATGAACACGCTAAATACTGAAAGAGTGGCCTATATTTAGTGGCTGAGACTTTTGTGTAATTTTCTGTTAAACATTTGTTTTCTGCTATTTTTGCAGTATAAGAATAACTTGTACTTTTCGACTAGAAAACAAAATGAATGAAAGGGTGGTCTCTGACTTTTGCACAGTACTCTATGTAACACAGCTGTATCTCTTCTTTGCCTGCAAAATGTGCCCAAAGTCTTTGTGGCCATGTCTTACGACACATATGGTTAAGTTTCTTGACTTGGGCCTTGATTACACACTCAGAAATTGTAAGGCTGAACCTGTGTCCCCCATAATCTTCTATTGAGACCAAAACACAGGGCTTATTTCCAGTAAATGTGCACATATATGCATCTTTATAGCACTTGTCGAGGCCTGTTAGTCTATTTTTAAAGCATTTTCCTGTAGATAATGTTGTTTTTATAGTGTATAGATTTTAGAGCAATATAAATGTTATAGTGTTTAATGCTGACATGTTTAATGTTGACATGTTTAATGTTGACCTTCTACTATTACTGCTTGGGCCATGCCATGGTATAAACATCTCTTTATATCTCTAAACCTCTACTGAAACAGAGTGCTTGTTAACTTCAGTGGTAACTTCAGGAATGGCCAAATTGGTGACCTGCTCTTAGGCAAAACACCCATCATTAAGGTCTAAGAAACCCACTATAGCATCCATTTCAGGAATCTCCCTCTAAATTCATGGCTTTGTGGATAGAGAAAGAAATCTCACTGTAGTGGTCACAAGTAACCGAAATATTGTTTTTTTATTATTGTTTGATTGTCAGTGGTGGATTTTCTTTGCATAGTTTGGGCTACTTATTCAGAGACATATTTAGATAAGACTGATAATGACACGGCACAGAACAAACTAAGGCACAGCTTCAAACTGTCCTGTCATACTTGTACCCAACAGAAGCTTCTCAAGTCACAAATACATAAATAAATGGCATCACTTTGTCTGGAGTGGTTTAGTCTCCATCCTCATTCTTAGAAAACTAAAAGCTGTGGCGCTACTGAATTCTCTCTTGCCGATGGAATGCAGCCTCCAGCTTTCCCAAAGCCACTGTTACGACAGTTATTTTGATGAAACCCAGATTTTCAGACTAAAATAATAAATAAAACAATAAATCACCAACACTACAAAAGTGTCTTCAGGAGCTGGTTTGCTGTATGATCTAAACGGTTGCTTTCAATTAAGTGTGACCAAAACACCAGTAAAATAAAAGACAGTTGGAGCCAAAGAAGTGGCAAACCACTGTGTAGTCTGTAGGAAATTAGTCTTCATTTGGAGACAATATAAATAAGTGCAATTTGTGACACTCACATTAAATCCTCCCAATTCTTGTGATGTAAAAGCCCTCCAGACAATCACACTGAGCATATCAGACATATGGAACCTCTCTAACAAACAAACTGGGTTGCCTGATCCACATGCAAACATGGCAGGTTAAAGGCTAATGAGACGGACACAGAGAAGCCTCTCATACATGGAACACATGGGATTGCCATATCCTCATGCAAGCCCCTAGTTTATTAAAAAAAAATAAATAAATAAATAAAAAAACAAAAAAAGAGCAAAGTTGCCACCCATACATAAAACACACAGGGTTACCATATCCACATGCATGTGTGAGAGCAGGGTAAACAGCAAGAAAATATTAGTGCTACCAATTAGGAAATTGACAACCTGCTCCAACACCGAAATTCAGGAGACACTCTGGAACATTTTAATTTATGCTTTTTAATACATTTAATAAAAACTACGCTGTGATAAAAACACTTACTGTTGATAAAACAGGACAAAACTGAGCTTACAATAAATAAACAGCTGCCATAAGCTTTTCTTAATTATTACTACATATATCACATTATATGCCTATGAAATCCATTGTCCTCAACAACAGAAAACACATGGTCATCCAAGGCAATGTTTTTTTAGTGCACTGTTTCCCTATCATTTATTTTTTTTTCTATTTGATGCATATTGCATGTTAACTAGGATGTCATGTTTTCAAGTGGTATTAAACCTTTAGTGGAATTCGTGGTTGTTCTTGTCGATACTCAGTATGAAGAGAGATTACAAATCACTTGTCTAACGTCCCTCCAAAAAAAAAACAGAAAATAGTTCCTGGCAGCTGATCTGCTGCCGCTTAAATTGTCTAAACTCATCTGCATTGACCGGCACATTAGAGCAAAAGAAAAACAGCATTTTTGATCACTATTTCTCATTTTGATTTCTAGTGAATTATTTGTTAAATATTAGATTCTGACACTTTGTTGTATGTTTTTAATGGGAGGGATTGGCAGAAACTTTTTGCCTTTACTCTCTTTCAGTGAAAATTCAGTGCATCCATAAATATCAGTAAAAGTTACAAACGAAGAAAGGTATTTGAACTATTTTTACCATACAAATATTCTATTTTTACATGAATAGCATTTGAATATCCCAACAAGGATAGTGTTATGAATAAAAGACATAAGTAGGCAAGGTTTAACATGCATTAAGCACATGCAACTAATACAAAATGGTGACTCAAACCTGACAGTTTGGTCAATCAAGTGATTTATCATTGTGTTTTAGGAGTATGTGAATTAACAGGCTGCCAGCTGACCCACCAGACAATGACTCAAAGTTAAACAACTTACACCTTAGAAAAAAAAAAAACATCTTTTTGTTTCCATACATGTAGGTGTTACCATTTCACTTAATGTAGGACGCAACCACACTCTTTGTGGTTTGGTGTTGCATGCTCAAATACTTATTTAAAAATGACAAGATAATACATGATTTAAGTGTTTATTTCAAAGTACCACGCCTCATTCAAATACTCAGTTAAACAAACACTAAGATGCATTCTGCATCTCTGAATGACCACATAATTATTCCATACTTATGCCACATGCAGGATGGCACAGCAGTCCTCTGGATAACTGTCCAGATGTGGATTTCATACCAGCTGTGGGAGTAAGAGGATAAGTTAACCAGGGAAAATTCACACTTGGTATGTGCAGCTTGGTATGAGAGACCCTGTTTATGCTAGAAGACAAGTGGGGTTGTCTGTGAAATAGAGAGAAAGATCGCTCTCACTTATACACTGTCTTCTTCTTTCTTTCTTTTGCTCCTGCTAAGGAAGGTAGCAGCCCCTTGCAGTCAGATTCCGCTGTTTACGGGATGCATTTGGAGGCAGCGCTCTCCTATCTCAGATTGCAGAAGTTGGGAAATATAAGTCAGAGAGTGCAGGTTGGATTCCAGTCTGCTACAGTTCAGGCCATTGGCTCTGACTCTGTTGCGTTTTTAACTTCTAGTGGCTTAAGAAAGGCTCATAACATGATTTTTTTAAATGTTAATTACAGTAATCCTCATTACAAAGACTGTTTGAGTAGCTTGGGTTATTTCTATGGCTCTCTTGCTGGGTGTGCATGCCATATGCCTGTGACTTAACATGCCCTCTTGAAAAGCGTGCTTTTCTGAGATTATCCTCTGTGGACTTTGTTCACATGAGTGATTTACATTTCCCGTGATTGCGGCCTTCTTCCACTTTGACCCTCAGGGTCAGAAAAACACATTTGTGAGGGCCACGAGCAAGCTATCAGCCATGC